CCAGTTGAAGCTATGGTTGAAGCTATGTTCATGGATGCACTCTGCTAGTCTTCTGCCCATCTGTCAAACATAGTGGCTGTTAGAGGACTATATTCTATGTTAAATTATAAAATAAAATCTATAAATTTTAGGAATTCTTGGAAGCTCAGCATTCAGACAAATCAGCTGTCAAAAGACATGCAGAAATAAACTATATTTACATATCAAAAGACATATCAAATAGCTAAGAAGGTTAATAAAAGAGATCAGAACACATCCCCTCCGGTAACCAAAACTTAGATAACCAGGGATTAACACAAGACAAACAAGCATAAAATGATACTCTGATGAAAGAACTACCAAGAAGAAAACCACATGCTGTCCAACACTGGTAGGGCAAGCTACTGTATACAAACAGGAAGCAAACCCCACGCTCACTACTACTGATTATGTATCTAGTTGGATAAATGAAAGCAAACATTCAAGCTTAAGGAACACCAAGGACTTCACAGTGCAAGCTTGAGCTACATATACAATATTCTCTTCCATTGGATACTCATATGCATTTCCTAAATATATAGACTCTATTTTCATTATTAATGGGCGTGAATGCAAAGTAAAATATGCCTAAGAAACACAAGTTCAGTATCTCTTAGAAGAAATAAAAAATTACATAACAATCCATACATTGCTTAATTCCACATCTGTACTTTTTTATTTACTTTTTTGTCGTCATAAGGACAAGAATCGTGGTTTTAAAATATAAAACAAGGATATTCTTAGCAAGTAAAACCTGATTCCAACTTTCTTGTTACCACGGAAGTCTGTGGAGTCAGTTAAGTCAGATGATACTTTCAGCATCCTACAGGAGCACTCAGATATCTCAGAGAAGGTTACAAGAAGGACATGGACATCACTTGTTCCTTGCACTCATTGGTCATGTATTGCCATTGTGACTACTACAATGAACATTGATGGACCTACTGTTTGTAACTTCACCCATGGGTCCATTTTTCCTTCATTCCTACTTTAAACCCATCTGAGCTAGTATCTATTCTCACCCTGGCAAAACTTCTAAATCCTTGCTAAGAGGCCACCACATGTGATAAGAATACAAGACAATATTCACTCACAGCAGAGCATTTTCTTCCAATTCTTCACATTCCTTGTTTGCCTCTTCAGTATCCAATCCCTCATTGTCATTTTCTAGAGTTTTGCTAGTGTGGCTTCTGCTCCTAAGTTCTGAATCTCTCCTGAGAAAGATAATAGCAGGCATCCTTTATTGTCAATTCCAAAGAAACTTATAGCACTGTTGGGACCGACAACTTCACTAAAAAGGCCAAGGAAGCCAAAAGGAAATGCTGAAACAGTTTTGTTGAGCCTGACTTCTAAACACTGAGTCCCATTGTGGAGTCAATCAAAAGACAATGATTAATTTGATTTTCTTTATAGTCTCAAACAGCTGCCTTTGTTTTACACAGCAAGCATTATAAACGAAGTTGCATATATCTGAATGGGCTTCTGCCTCCCTACTTTTCAATAGACCAAGGAAATACTTTGTTAAAAAATGCCTATGCTAAAATAAAAAGATATATCGTAAGCATGTCTTTCTCACATTTTAAAATAATCAGAGCAGCATCATGATTTTAGGAGTAATAAAATGAATATCTGTAACATCTGCCACTTGTCTCTGAACCTATTTTTTTTAACAATAAAAAGGTAATATTGGCCTTTGTTAATCCAGGGTTAGGTTACCAGTGCCCCCATCACTTGCTGATCCAGCATTGCATTCCAGCTCAATGCACTGGCAGGAATTCTTTGGTTCACACATCAGAAAAATAATACACAAGTAAACTTTGTATAAACACTTAGAGTAAAAAACCAACCAGAGCTCTGAGATATACCCAGGACAGGATATCTATGCTTTGAAAATGATATGGCACACCTTAATTGCTAAACTAACATTTTTCTGACAGAGAATCTGTCACAGAAATCAACTCAATATGGAAACAATTTTGGACCAGAACGATGCATTACAAAGACATCTGTAAACATCTGAAATGTGGGTTTCTTTAACATAAAGTCTTTTTTGCTCAGACTGCAATTCTTAATATTTTAGGCTTTATGCTCTGTTGAGGATTGCTATTGACATTTTCATGGTTTCAATTTTTATGGTTTTAGGTTTGAAAATGACAGAGTATATTCCGTTACTTGAACTAATTAGCAAATATTGACTCATTAATGTTTTATTCCTTTTTGCCTCTGTTCCCAATTTGGTTCTTTATTTCTCCTTAAAATGCTTAATAAAACATATCTAATGGAAAATAATTGGAGGTGCTTCAGAACGTAAGGAATCATGTGCAGTAACTGCATCCTTTTTCAACTCCAATCATGTCTTTTATGAGACTTTACAAACAGCTAATTTGATGTAGTAGCTAAAGTATCAGGTTAGAAACTGGGAGACCATGAGTTCTACTCCTGCCTTAAGCACAAAGCCAACTGGATGACTTTGGGCCAGTCATTCTCCCTCAACCCTAGTAAAGAAGCAATGATAAACCACTTCTGAAAAATATTGACAAGGAATCTGCAGGGACTTGTACAGGCAGTCTCTGAGAATCAGACTCAATGGAATGAAAGGGGGTGATGGTGTCTACATCATTTTTCAGTCTTATATAGAAGATTAAAAAAAAAGATGCAAGCTTTAAAAAAAGCTTTACTCACACCCACAGTGTTCCAAAGATCTCTTTTGGTTAATCTTTGAAGGCCTAATTAAAGGCCTTCATACTGAAACCCTTTTACCCATGGCAGAAATAAGCATGCAACACACCCATATCTCCACTTTACTTACAGGGTGCATTATAGTAGAAAAAGTACTGGACAAGATATGGGCTAGTCACTCTCTCTCTCAGTCTAACCAGAGGTGTTATTCAGCAGGTTCTGACCAGTTCTGGGGAACAGCTAGCGGAAATTTTGAGTAGTTCAGAGAACCGCTAAATATCATCTCTGATCAGCCCTGCCCCCATTTATTCTCTGCCTCCTGAGTCCCAACTGATCAGGAGAAAATGGGGATTTTACAGTATCCTTCCCCTGCCACGCCCACCAAGCCTCGCACACAGAACCAGTAGTAAAAAAGTTTGAATCTCACCATTGAGTCCAACCTATACTAGTTGATGACCAAACTAAAAAAGAGAAAGCTTCTGGGCCTTCTTGATTGCTTAAGATAACAGGACTATAAAATAACAAATTTAAGATGGAAATATTTTTTATAGCTACATCTGGTAAACAAAAAGATATATTTTAAAAGGCTATCCCTAAAAAAAACCCACCGTGAGGTCCTTGAGCAACATTTCCTACCTTTGAAGCCTTGAATGCAACCCTAGAGACCCACAAGAGTTGTAAACAAATCAAGGTAGTTAAAATTTCAGAAAAGGAAACATCATTAAGTATTTGGGATTACATTTTTACATTAAAAAAATTAATGCTTCTTTAGCTTTCTGCCTGGCTACATGTAATTCTTGGACCCAAGCTGCTTCCTTCTGGAGCATGTCCACCCATGTCCACCCACTCATAGGCCAAATGCCGTCCATGTCTAGCAGAAAGGATGCCTGGATGATGCCTTACCCTTCTGCACAATGGCTTGTTTCTCTGATACAATGGCTGCTCTTTGCTCTTTGAAGGCTTTGCTTTGAGAAGCTGGAAGGGCTTGGATGCAGGATCAGGTGATTCGCTGCAGGGTCTTCTTGGGAGAAATGGGACTGTCTGCGGTGGAGAAACAAAGAGAAACCATCACACCAAAGGATAAACCAAGCCAAAACAGTGCTCAGCTCCTTCTGTTAGATGATCCCTACCTTTGTGGACTTTCATCTTTGTCTATGGATGGTTTAACCACTTCTCCCTTAAGGCCTTCCTCATTTTCAGAGCTATGGAACTGATGCAGAGATAATTAGATAACAAAATAACAGAACAGAATTAGAGTTGAAAAGGAACTTGGAAGTCTTTTAGTCCACCTCCCTGCTCAGGCAGGAAACCCTATACTAGTGTTGGCGGACCTTTTCACCATGTCAAAATGGGAGCACACACATGTGTGCATGCCAGAAACCAGAAGAGCAGCCACCCCATGTGCATGTGCGTGCCAGGAAGATGATTTTCCAGTTTCTGGTGCTTGCATACGCGCTAACCACCAGGTCTTACCGTTTCTGGCGTGTATGTGAAGACCAGATGGCTAGTGCGGGTGGTCACACCAGAAACCAGAAGGTCATCTTCCGGGCGTGCACTGGGCGGCTGCTCTTCCAGTTTCTAGCGTTCCCACCAGGGGTGGATTCCTGCCAGTTCTAACCTCTTCTATAGAAGAGGTTCCACAAATCTACAGTGCCATTTAGAACTGGTTCCAGCTCCCTCCCCCTGCCCATCCAGACATCATCAAGATGAAGAGCGAGAGGAGGAATTCTGGGAGTTGAAGTCCACAAGTCTTAAAGCTGTGAAGTTTGAACACCCCTGGGTTTTTTTCTAAAGGGTTAGGGGTGCAAGGGTCTTGTAACTTGACAGCTTTAAAACTTGCACACTTCAATGCCAGAG